TTTAATAGTAAAAATAGTCCAAGTGGAAACACAAAAACAGGCAGCATGGCTGAGCTGAAGCCAGGGCTCAACGCCTGTAGCAACTGTTCATCCTGGTGGACAGAAGAACAGGCTTGACAAAATGATGTGAAGAACGATGAGGACCCGATGAGGAACAAAGGACAACCGTGGGATTAAATACACAGATGGTAATCACAGAAACGAGAAACACCTGGGAACAATCAAGGGGAAACAGGACAACGCAGAGACTGGAAGCATCACAGAAAAATAAGGAGCGCTCATTTTGAAGGCTGCCTACGTTCAATAACATGAAAAAACTGCATGTTTTATATGAATTCAATTAGTATTTAATACTCTTTACACAAAGTGAAAGTACAAATGTAATGTGTTTTTTCTAAATTCCTTCATTTATGAAAAGATGGTTAGCTCTCTATACAGGAGAAAACTATTTTAAGAGAGTTGCCACTGATCAATTAATCGTTATTGATTCTAAGAACAATCATCTTTAGATTAATCAATCTGTAAATGTTAAATAAATTAGTGGTTTTCACTGGCTATTCCCAGTAATTATTCATTAAATATATAACACATTCTAAAAACACCAGTCTCTTAATGTTATTCCTTTAAAAATAAGTTTTGTTTCTAAAATGATCAAATTAAAATAGTTACTTGTTGATTTTATAAGGATATTTGTAAATTGTAACAGTTTCAAATTTCACAATAAAATAATCTAATTAAATCCTACATGATTAATTTTCCATTTTATTAAACAATTAATCATTTCACCTCCAAAAACCTAATTTTTAGTTTATTCCTTGTCAATTTTTTTTTTATTATTCCCCAATAATTAATCAAATTTACTGACAAAGATCCATAAGTTAAAACCTGAATCTCTAACAGGGAAACATTTAATGTCCATATCTGGTTTAAAAGGCTCAAAATTAGCAGCCATGTTTAAAAATGTTGGTCATCCTGAAACCCAAGGGATGGGAACCTGAGGGGTTAGCATGCTAATCTTTATCCCTGTATCTACACTTTAATTACTTTTTCAGTGAAATGCTGAATTTAAATACTTCATCATGTATATTTCCATAAGTCTACTGTGAGTCTAGTCAAAGTTTTTATAATGAATCAGTGATTTATGATGTGTTCAGAGCCAATCCAGGCTAAAATTATTTCATTGTTCATAACATAAATATCATGTTTTATTATAATTTGGCAAACCAAGAGATTATTCATGTGTTTTATTTACTGTCACAAAGCTTGACCTCATGACCTCGTGTGTTTTCTCCTGTAGAGGAAGTGCTGCTTCTGTTTTAGCTCAAACCTGAAACAATCGACCTCCTGATGAACACAAAGTTCTGCAGAGTGTGTGTGAACACCACTGGGTGTGTGTGTGTTGACCGCTGCCTTCTTGTCTTGATCACATGCAAATCAGCTGTTATGAAATGTATTTCCTGCTCCATTTCAGAAACACTTTCCCACTCAGAAGTAATAAAATACACACATTTTGAAGCAATGTTCATTTATATTTGTCAAACTGGCAGATTAAGCAAAGATCAGAGTGTTTGGTTATTGATCTCTGTTAAAAAGGCAGAGGTTTCGGGTTTTCATAACTTTAGAGCAAAGATAAACTCTGAAGGACTTCCAGGATGTGATTACATGATCCTTACAAAAACATTTTATTCTTAGACCAAAAATAAACCATCATCCATCAGAGAGGTTCTATTAAAATAATTTATTGTATATGCAGGTCAGATAATAATCAGGTCTGGATTCACTGGGAAAATTAGCTCAGATTCCTAAAAACATGTGGTTTAATCACAGTTAGTTCATGATTTAATAAAGGGGTGTGAATATTTGCTCCATCTTATGAGTGTGTTAAGTTGTGTCATCTTTTGATTTTTTGCACCTTTTTGTACCAGGCGCACATGAGTGGTGGCAGCTGGTCTTTGGGCCGGGTCAGGATCTGGTAAAGCAGTTTGGACATCCTGAAAAAGTTTGGGATGTTTGACCGATTGTATGACAGGAAACCGGCTCAGCTCACTTACAATGTTTGGAGGTTTGTCTTTGAGTGGCTGGACAGGAGCTATTTCAGCTGGATTCATCGTGTTTCCTTGTTCAGCAGTTATGACCTGGGTTGGTTTGAGTTGAATTTGAGGTTTGGTTATTCTGCAGTCCTTCGTTCCTTTCTTTAATTAGATTAGTCTTGTTTCAATTTTTACTTTAATTTCTTGTTATTCTTGCTATTTTATGTTTCTTAGGTCCAGTTACAATGTGGTATCTTGGTTTTTTTTTCTAGTTTCCCTGTTGTGTTCTCTTCTTTGCCCCCTGTGCCATTTTTCTCTCTCTTTCCTCCAACCTGTTAATCAGCCCAGGTCTTTTGTTCCAGCATTCACCCTCACAGTATTTATTCTCTTCTCCTGCTCACACTTATTGCTGTTCCCTTCTCTTAAATCCCATCATATCCTGGTTACTTGCCTTTTGATATTCTGCTTATTTTTGCTCCTGGTTCCTGTTTTGGTCTGCTCTGGCTCCTTGTGATTTCTGTGTGTTTTCAGGTTTCAAAACATTCAATATGATCCAGACTCCCAGCTTCTGTTTGCATTTGTCCTCTCTGCTCTTGATCTGACTCTGACTTTAAATTCAGGATGATGATTGAAATGAAATTTCAACATGGATTAGCAGAACCTCCTCAGCTGATCCTGGTTTTAACCAGAGACTGTCCTCACTCTGCTCACCACACTAACATCATGATCAATGATTATATAGGAGCTTTAGGAATAATCTGCATTAGAACAATGTGTGGTTTCAGCTGCAGTCGTGTGGTGATGTTAAGGATTACAGTTTAGTTTGAGTTTTATGTTTACTTTCTGTTTGATCAGATACTGCAAAATAAGGAAACCAGCTTTTCTTTTCTCTGGGCTCATTTCATCATGGAGATTTATCAACCTGCCTCTGATTTTACAGCAAACCTTCTGCTGCTCAGAAAGAAGACACTACAAACCAGGTGTGCCGTCAAATAATCACTTATGCAACACTTTTCACACATTGAGTTTGAACCTTGAATTGTTCAGGTAAGGTAAAAGTCCAGATCTGTTGTCTCTGTACAGGTGTGGCATTAGTCTGAGTCTACCGTGGCTCTATTAGGTCTCAGTTTGTTGTTCAGACACTCTTCAACTTTTTGAACCGTATGAAACTGTAAGTTTGCTTGGTTTCCCTGAACTTTGTCTACTGGAACCTTTTTATATGTTTCTGATGTTTGGAGAAGAAGCATCACTTCTGACTTCCACTCAGTTTGATCTCTCTTCTGTTTGAAGGTTAATTTACAACAATATTTGATTACTAATGAACAAGAATCAAACAACATGATGAGCAGCTGGTGTTTCTATGTTTTCTTTTCTGCTTCATGTTTTTACCTCCATGAATCAAACTGTTAAAGTCAGGAACAAAAGTTTCTTGTTGCATCCTTTCAAAATAAATGAATATTATGTATTATTTTTACTAAATATTATTGTTGAAATGTGTTCAAGTGATTATAATAGTTTTATGCAGAAAATAATCCACTGGTAGAGATTAATAATTAACTAATTAAAATACTTCCTGTTCAAGTTGAATCAGTGAATGTAAATGTTGCTCCATGTCTCCATCTAGTGGACTGATAGTAGAAGTGCAGCAGCTGATGGCAGCTTCTCTGCCTCTCTGCTGTCTGACTGCATTCACCTGACACTGATATGAAGCAGAGAAGAAGAGCCAATCAGAGGAGCAGCTGATCTTTTTCCAGCACTAATGATGTAAAGGATGATCAGAGTTGATGTGCAGATGAATGATGTGTGTTTCCTCTGCAGGTGAAGCTAGAAAGTGTGTGAGCTGATGTGGATTCAGCAGCATGGATCAGTGTGAGGACAGAGAGGAGGGAGTCCCTCCCTCTAAAACCACTCTGTGTGGGGAAGATGAGAGCCAGAGCAAAGGTCAGAGGTGAGGTCACCATCTCTAACTGTCCACAGCCCTTTTCACACAGCGTTCACTATATCAGGCCAGAACAGACGTGGTGATGAAGCTGCTGCTGCTCCTCTTTGCTGATTAACTTTTAATCATCATGTTTCTGTCAGGATCCATCAGAGAATCAAACCAGAACCAGAACCAGAACCCAGCTGTGTGTCCTTTAAGAGCGACAAGTCAAAGGAAGAGTTCATTTTCTTTAAATCTCCTGAATCTCCACCATCAGAGAGGTGAGATGTTTCTAACTGCTGTAAACTGTGGAAACTGAAACATTATGAACTCAGATGTTCCCAGTTTTATTTATTCATCTATTTATTTACTTATGTATTTATGTATTATTTATCTTAGTTAAACCCCAAATAGGGCGTTCCCTAATATGTCATTTCTTTTAACAATAGCTTGCATGTGTGTACTCTATGTGTGCACATATGTATGTATAAGCATGCAAAAAGCTAAAGGAGATAGAGAAAAACAGAATTATTTATTCTCAAAAGGATTTCCAGGATACATTATAAAACTCTCATTTTAACACTCAGTAGAGGACCACTCTTGGACACACACCCACATATTACAATCAATCAATTTATTTATAAAGCACCTTATATTAAAAACACCTAAAAGTGCTCAGTCGTCCTTCATGTCCACATCACCTCAGATCTAATAATAAGACCATGATAGATGTCCCACACTGTCCCGAAGACCTGTGTGGACAGAGCCTTCACTTCAACAGCCTCCAAGCTCTGGGACATTGTCTCCACCAGTATCAGATGTAATGACAGTGTGGAGTGTTTAAAGTGCAACATCAACTTTTTTACATCTAATAAATTATTCTGCACTTACTGTAATTATGATTCCTCTTTCTAACTCCTTTTGTGTTGTGTATTGTGTTCACAACATGCTCTGTGTTTCTGCTTTTCAGTATTTAAACTGTGAAACTCTTGGTGATTTCCTCTGTGAAAACTGCTGGATGAATATTTCCTGACTTCCTAATTGTTGCTGGTTCCTCCACAGAGTGGACCAGCAGAGCTCAGAGGTTCCAAGTGGTCCATCTATCCAGGAAGATCAAACACAGCTGGACTCCATATTTTTGGTCATTAAATATACATCTACTTTTCTATGGGTTCTGTTCACATTCATCTCCATGCTTCACTTTGTAGACCAGAGGACTGTCAGTCTGTTCAACATCCATCTGGTGTTTGGCTCCATGATTTCAATCTGATGTTTCCTTCATCTATTATTCTGTTCCAGCTGCTGGAGGAAAACATTGTTACTTTTGTGAAGAACGAGTTGAAGAAAATCCACAACGTTCTGAGTCCAGATTACCCAAAACATTCAGAGAGTCAGAGAGATGATGAGGTGTTGGAAGGTGATGATGAAGAACAGAGAAGGAGCAGCAGAGAGGCAGTGATGAAGACCACACTGAACTTCCTGAGGAGGATGAAGCAGGAAAAGCTGGCTGACCGTCTGCATAGCAGTAAGAGGATTTATAAAGAGATTTGAACTGATGGATAAAACAGACATTTACTGATGTGGAATCATATTTAGTAACATCATCTTCAAAAAATTATTTTATTTAGTATTTGATTTTATATTTATGTTTATTTAGAACATCTTGCTGCAGTTTGTCAACATCAACTTAAATCTGGTCTGAAGAAGAAGTTCCAGTCTGTGTTTGAGGGAATTGCTAAAGCAGGAAGTCCAACCCTTCTGAACCAGATCTACACAGAGCTCTACATCACAGAGGGAGGGACTGGAGAGGTCAATGATGAACATGAGGTCAGACAGATTGAAACAGCATCCAGGAAACCACACAGACCAGAAACAACAATCAGACAAGAAGACATCTTTAAAGTCCCACCTGGAAGAGATCAACCAATCAGAACAGTGATGACAAAGGGAGTGGCTGGCATTGGGAAAACAGTCCTAACACAGAAGTTCACTCTGGACTGGGCTGAAGACAAAGCCCACCAGAACATCCAGTTCATATTTCCATTCACCTTCAGAGAGCTGAATGTGCTGAAAGAGAAAAAGTTCAGCTTGGTGGAACTTGTTCATCATTTCTTTAGTGAAACCAAAGAAATCTGCAGCTTTGAACACTTCCAGGTTTGTTCATCTTTGATGGCTTGGATGAGAGTCGACTTCAACTGGACTTCCACAACAAGGAGATCCTGACTGATGCTACAGAGTCCACCTCAGTGGATGTTCTGCTGACAAACCTCATCAGGGGGAAACTGCTTCCCTCTGCTCTCCTCTGGATAACCACACGACCTGCAGCAGCCAATCAGATCCCTCCTCAGTATGTTGGCATGGTGACAGAGGTCAGAGGGTTCAATGACCCTCAGAAGGAGGAGTACTTCAGGAAGAGATTCAGAGGTAAGAAACAGGCCAACAGGATCATCTCCCACATGAAGACATCACGAAGCCTCCACATCATGTGCCACATCCCAGTCTTCTGCTGGATCACTGCTACAGTTCTGGAGGATGTGTTGGAGACCATAGAGGGAGGAGAGCTGCCCAGAACCCTGACTGAGATGTACATCCACTTCCTGGTGGTTCAGACCAAAGTGAAGAAGGTCAAGTATGATGGAGGAGCTGAAACAGATCCACACTGGAGTCCAGAGAGCAGGAAGATGATTGAGTCTCTGGGAAAACTGGCTTTTGATCAGCTGCAGAAAGGAAACCTGATCTTCTATGAATCAGACCTGACAGAGTGTGGCATCGATATCAGAGCAGCATCAGTGTACTCAGGAGTGTTCACACAGATCTTTAAAGAGGAGAGAGGTCTGTACCAGGACAAGGTGTTCTGCTTCGTCCATCTGAGTGTTCAGGAGTTTCTGGCTGCTCTTCATGTTCATCTGACCTTCATCAACTCTGGTTCTGACATGATCAAAGAAATACAAAGATAATACATCTTCATTACTTAATACATCTGATCTACAATCTCTCCATCAGAGAGCTGTTGACCAGGCCTTACAGAGTCCAAATGGACACCTGGACTTGTTCCTCCGCTTCCTCCTGGGACTTTCACTGCAGACCAATCAGAGACTCCTACAAGGTCTGCTGACACAGACAGGAAGTAGCTCACAGACCAATCAGGAAACAGTTGAGTACATCAAGGAGAAGATCAGTGAGAATGTGTCTGCAGAGAAAAGCATCAATCTGTTCCACTGTCTGAATGAACTGAATGATCGTTCTCTAGTGGAGGAGATCCAACAGTCTCTGAGTTCAGGAAGTCTCTCCACAGATAAACTGTCTCCTGCTCATTGGTCAGCTCTGGGTTTCATCTTAGTGTCATCAGGAAAAGATCTTGATGTGTTTGACCTGAAGAAATACTCTGCTTCAGAGGAGGTTCTTCTGAGGCTGCTGCCAGTGGTTAAAGCCTCCAACAAAGCTCTGTAAGGACACACATTGTTAATACAGTTATCTTTGATAGAAATATACTAATGATGAGGTAAATATATATTTTAAATTTTCAGCTTATATATTGTTGCATTGTCTCCTCAAAGTTTCTCACTGGGGGTGATGTGTGAAGGAGACACAGACTCCCTTCAGCAGCTGACATAGTGATACATATTAAAGCAGCAAAACTCGTCCTCTTTATGTTAAAATTTAAATTGTATTAATTTTGTTAATTGTGGAATTTTATCATTCTCTTTCCTGACTTCTTGTTTCCTGTAGTTATAAACTTTAAGGATGGAGGACTAACTATAAAATGAACCATTTTGCAAACAAAAGGCATCATAAACATGTGTAAAATAAGATTGATCCTTCTCTGTCCAAGAAAAACCTTGAAAAATATAAATTTTTGTAGAATTGTATAATAACATATTTTCCTCCCTGTCTCCTCAGACTGAGTGGCTGTAACCTCTCAGAGAGAAGCTGTGAAGCTCTGTCCTCAGTTCTCAGCTCCCAGTCCTCCAGTCTCAGAGAACTGGACCTGAGTAACAACAACCTGCAGGATTCAGGAGTGAAGCTTCTCTCTGCTGGACTGAAGAGTCCAAACTGCAACCTGGAAACTCTCAGGTAACTCTGGGCCATCCATCCGTCCGTCCGTCCATCCGTCCATCCATCCATCCATCCGTCCAGACCTTGGTTTCTACCTCCATGTTCTCATTTTCTCATCATGTGATGAATTGTGTGTCTGCAGCTTATCAGGCTGTTTGGTCTCAGAGGAAGGCTGTGCTTCCTGGCCTCAGCTCTGACCTCCAACCCCTCCCATCTGAAAGAGTTGGACCTGAGCTACAATCATCCAGGAGACTCAGGAGTGAAGCGCTGTCGGCTGGACTGAAGGATCCACACTGGAGACTGGAAGCTCTCAGGTATGGAGGAACCTGCTGCAGGAGCAGAGAAGGTCTGATAGAGGAGGAAGAGGGAGAAATGTCTTTATTCAGTCTGCTGGAAAACATTTAGTTTGAAGCTGGTATACAGTCATATCATTTATAAATGAATGGATAACATTTTGAACCCCATTTTATCTCTTATTACAGTTTAATAACTCAAATTATCTCTGGTCATTTTGGTTTTGTAACTTTTCAAACAGCAGCTCATTTAAACTATAAGAATCTTCCACATGGTTCTGAATGAACCTGGGAAACCAACCCATCTTAAGGGTTCAGCTCTGCTGAAGCTGCTGAGCTTCAGCAGAGCTGCTGGCTTTGGTTCTGATCCGCCTCTGTTCTGGTGTCTGATCTCCAGAGAGGATCTGAAGCGACCCATCAGAAACTCAGTGGAGGTGGTGGAGGATGAGGATGGGGCGCGGCGAGGAGGTGGAGGAAGAGCGCCGTGATCCATCTCTCTGCTGTGGAGACCTGAGGGAATCTGACAGAGAAACAGCAGCCTTGAAATTACAACACTATTATTTAATAGTGTTGTTGTAACACTATTGCTGTTATTACAATATCAATGACGATAACGTTTCTCCAACATTGATGTTGAGGGTCAAGTGTTCAAATTAGTGATAGATTCCAGTTTTGACATCATATCAATTTGATTTGTTATTGATTGTTAGGAAATGCACCATGTTGAAATCATATAAAAGAAAATTAAGGCTACCTGGGAAAATACGAATCACTCTGTTAAATTAACATTTAATATGAAATTCAAAAGTTTTTGTGCAGACAAATCTGCAGGTTTCCTTTTTAAGAAGAATATTCTAAGACTTAATGCATCTCAAACTCCCTCCAAGATCATATATCTTTCTAAAAAGTTACTTGTAAATTAGTTTTGTCTTATTTTAAGTGTCCAAATGTACTTGAACAATAAACTAGACCAAAATAATGGTAATATGTGTTTTCTCTGATAGTATCCACGTTTTAACTCAATATAAAGTCAGTTCTTGTAATTGTGGCTGGAGAAAGACATTCTCTACCTTTTCTGCTTTTCTAGCTGAAGAACAGCGCGCTAGCATGGCAGGCAAGTCCACTGCATATGCAAACATGTAAAACATGACTGCATATATGCCTTAAAAATAACTTTTAAAAAAAAACACTGCACAGTTATCTGAATGAAGCAACAAGACAAAACCTTTGTTGCCTCTTTACTGCAACTCCTAGTTTGAAGGAAGTGAGGAAGAGGAGGAAGTTAAAGAGGAAGGGGAGGAAATGGAGGCAGAGGTTTGTTGCAGTTGAAAGTGGTTTTTAACATCCTTCATTCTCCAAATCCAAAGTCATTTCCAAAGATTTTCCCCAAACTGAAAGGAAAAACATCCAACATGGTGGAGTTTTGTTGTCTGGTTTGATTCTCATCTGTGAGGATTCCTCTTTAGATTAGCAGCATTTTCCCTTATTTCCCATAAAAGCGCCACTTTCACGTCACCTTCAACTGTATTTTTTCATTTTAACACTTTATTTTGTTCCTTTTTTAAATCATGTGTGATAGACTGAGAAGGATGAGGTGGGTTAAACATGTTATCTGGGATTAAATCACCTTAATATTCACCAAAAAGTCCAGAATCATTGGATTTATACAGCTCCTCCACCTCTTCAGGACAGTTTGACACTGTTTGTGTTTTTTTTATATCTCTAACAATTTTCTGACTCAAAGATGGACGAACCGTTTGAGAAGGTAGGCACAAGCAGAATATCCTAAATTAGATTCTTAATAAGCAATTTTCCACTTAAAGAGTGTCAAAATGGGGCATTTCATCCAAAATGTCTTGTTTTACCTCCCAACTTTCTGCCACATAGAGAGAAAATGCATGTGAGGATCATGAGGTGAGTTCATGGGTGTTACAGGAGGTGAACTGTAACATGCATGTTATTATGAGTAGAAATGCAAACTACACCAACAAGGTGTTTAACGGACTCGTAATGCAACCGTAGACTCTCAGGTGTTTTGTAATAATTCAGCTTTAGAAGTAATTTAGCTTCCAGGTTCTGAGTCTCAGTAAAATCCCAAAACTTCCCAGTTTTATTTCCCTTTTTCTTTCTCTAAAACCTTTTGTCAGCCTTTTGAACTTGAAGGTTTCTCTCCTCCAGATGGACACGGAGGCCAGCGACCTGCTCAACGACCTGCAGGTTCGGCTCAACAACGTTCTGGACGACCTCAGCAGCACGTTTGGGAACAGGTACGCCGCCCTCACACCCCCACGTTTCCCCCACTTTGTCCCAGTGCATCACTGGTTTTTCTTCTCCTGCAGCTTCCAGAGCCGCATCACCGACTGCATGCGGCAGATGGCGTCGCTGCTGTACCAGATCAAAGGACCGCTCAACGAAAACACCAAGAACCAGGTGGAGGCGACTCGGACAACATGCTGCGGCCGCTCATGGACTTCCTGGATGCTCAGTGGGTTCAGTGGGATTCCCCAAACACGGCTCGTCCGTCGGCGTGTGAGTGAACGTCTTGTTTTTGCAGATTAACGCTGTTCGCCACGGTGTGTGAGAAAACCGTCCTGAAGCGCGTTCTGAAGGAGCTGTGGAGGATCGTGATGACCAGCCTGGAGAAGAACATCGTCCTGCCGCAAGGGAACGACACCTTGGTGAGTCTGACGCTCGTCTCCGTCACTGGACAGGTTTCCATCCAGATGGTTTTGAAATGTTGTCAAAAAGTGTGAATTACATAACAAAAACACAATCTTACTAAATATTTTTGATCTAGTTGTCAGTGAAACTATCTTAGAAACTTGTTTTAAGTCAATAATTTCTTAATATTGCTGATCAAATTTGATTATTTCACCTAAATCAAAATATTTTTGCAATGTTATAAGGGAAATAATAATCAGACTAAAATCTCATTTTATTTCAATAATTTTGTGCAAAATAAATATAATGAACTTATTTTGTGCAGGACAGATTATTTCACTTATAACAAATCATTTTCCCTTAAATTAAAAAAATCTGCCAACTACTTTTTTTTAATCAATATTAAGGAATTATCGACTTAAAACAAGCTTCTTCTTCTGATAAGTTACTACTAAGTTATTTTTGTCTTATTTAAAATGTGCTGAGATATTTTAAAATTCTAATTCAAACATACTTTATTGATCCCAAAAGAAAAGTTAAATGTTGTAATTCACATTCGTCAAATTTGCACTAGAAACTAGAGCAAAATACTTGGTAAGAGTTTATGGTTTTGCAGTGTAATTTACATTTCTTTTATACATTATTATAAAAATTTGTTCAAAATTTGAATCACAGCTGGATGGAAACATGGCTGCCATTTTGAAATGGATCAACTCGTAATTGTGTCAGATGATGAGATGTAAACATTTTGACAGACGTGACCAAACACAAAAAAATTTTTATCCATTATGTTTTAAAATGATGACTGTGGCATATTCAGTTTAATTATTAGTCAACAAACTGAACATCATCCAATCACATATAGAGTAGATAAATAACTCACTTTATGTATGAACATGAGTTGTATCGATGCTTTTTTTCCATCTCCATCAAACTTACTAATATGATCATTAAAATTGAAACAAGGCTTCTGAAAACTAAAAGAATCATTCATTTTTCTGTTTTTCCTGAAGGGAGCACAGATCCTTTCTGCTGCTAAAGAACTGGGACACCTTTCCAAACTGAAGGTATCAGGTTGCCTTTGAGTTTGCTTTCTCTGTGAATTGGTCTAGTCAAAGTCCTGGTTTGGGTTGTTTAGGATCACATGGCAGGAGACGCTAAAAGCCTGACGCCCAGGCAGTGTGCCGTCATGGATGTGGCTCTGGATACCATCAAGGTGAGAGCGAAACGTTGACCTCTGGTCAAACAGAAAAGTACAATTCATTCACATTTTAAGAGTCTTTTGGTTGATTAACTAAAAGTCTGATTAACTCCACTTTAAGTTTAATCATTCAGGTTGTAGAACGCTGATTCCTCTCGTTTTGTTTCCTACGCAGCAATACTTTCATGCGGGCGGGAACGGCTTGAAGAAGACTTTCCTGGAGAAGAGCGCTGAGCTTTCGTCGCTCCGCCACGCTCTGTCGCTCTACACCCAGACCACCGACACGCTCATCAAAACCTTCGTGACCACGCAGCATTCACAGGGTAGATCCAAAACGCCTCAAGGAGATTAAATACGGGAGAGTTTCAGATTCCTCGCTGCTTTTATCTCCTGGATTTGGTTGTTTAAGTTGCTGTCTTGTTTTTAATCTCCTGCTGCCTCTGTGCCCAGTGCACAATGGGAAAGGGTATTAGGTTACCCCTAATGAGAAAATCCAGCCCAGCAGGGGTAGGTCTCCATGAAATCATCATCAGCCCAACTTCCCTTCATCGTTTTCTCTCTTCTGTTTTGTGAAACCTGCGTTTCTGTCGCGTGACTCTATAAAACGTTGTTTTCTTTGCCTGCATTGACCAAATGTTTGTTTGTGTTAAACCAGGCTCAGCTGTGGACAAACCCATCGGAGAGGTTTCCCTGCAGATTGAGCTGTACACTCATCCCAAGAGCGGAGAGCGGAAAGTTACTCTCAAAGGTCCGTTTGGGCTCATTTTGAACCAATGAAATCAAAGCTGGAGCATTTTAGTGTCATTTCTTTTTAAATGTTTGTGTCATTGATGCAGTGATTGCAGCCAGTGATTTGAAGTGGCAGACGTCTGGGATGTTCAGACCCTTCGTGGAAGTCACGATGATCGGGCTGCACCTCAGCGACAAGAAGCGCCGATTTCAGACCAAATCCAAGAACAACAGCTGGTCTCCCAAATACAACGAGACCTTTCACTTGTAAGTTCAAAACCAAACGTCGTGACACATTTAGGATTTGAAGCTCTTTTAATTCTGACTTCATAAACTGTTGGTTACACAAAACAAAGTCCTTGTGAAATTACTGGACAATGTCAGCTAATGCGCTAGCAGCACAGCTAATTGTTCATTTAGTGTTTCTGCTAAACATTTAGTGAACTTCCTCAAATTTAACTTTTCCAAATAAAATCTGGATTTATTTTAAGAAATTAATTGTGTGGCAATAGTTTTAAAAGTTATTTTAAAAAAAGCTAAAATTAGCTCTACTATTAGCACATTAGCAGCTAATGGAAGTGTCCCTTCTACTGCAGATGTCAAACTTTATTCAACTGAAGTGTAGAAAACAGCAAAAGTACATTAGTGCTTTAGAAATTTAACTTGAAAACTGATTTAGGGGAATCAAAATGTGTTGCACAACAAATTTGCTCTGCTATTAGCACATTAGCAGATTAGCAATAGTGTAATCTACCACTGCAGATGTGGACCTCAAATCAAGTAAAATGTTTTGATTTAAAAGGGAAAATTAGATCATCAAGCTAGGTGAACGAATGTTTTTAAAGTTTCAGAAAAAGCACAAAATCAGGAATTAGCTCTGCAATTAGCGCCCTAGCCCATGTGCTCCCACTCCTGTGTTCTGCTCTCGCTCTGCAGCGTTCTGGGTTTCAGGACGGGTTCGAGTGCTACGAGGTTCAAGCCTGCGTCAAGGACTACTGCTTCGGCCGCGCCGACCGGGTGGTGGGCCTGGCCGTGGTGCAGCTGAGGGACATCATGGAGGGGGGCAACTGCGCCTGCTGGTGCCCCCTGGGGCAGCGCATCTCCATGGACGACACGGGCCTGACCGCCATGCGGATCCTCTCCCAGCGCTCCAACGACGACGTCGCCAAGGAGTTCGTCCGGCTCAAGTCCGAGACCCGATCAGCAGAGGAGGGAAGATGAGGCTCTGCTTGATGCAGTGGCACTGCTTTGACCTCTGACCTGTCTTGGCTGCTGTGTAAAACCTCACCAGCTTCCAGTGTTCTTCAACTTCACATTTTTTTAAGTCTCGTCCGCCTCTACTGAGGAGACAGAACCCATCCAGAACCTGTCAAAGGGCCGAATAAGAACCCACCCGCCCCGAGTGTTCTTGTGCAATAACTCCAACCCACCCCTCCCAAAGTGTGGCCAAGTGGTTCAAGCCTTACACTCTGCAAGCTGTGAATGTGTGTTCATGTAAAAGGAAAGAAATCCCTGTTTTTTAATGAACACAAGTCAAATATTTCACTTCACTTAGCAAAGAAAAACTACAAATCACAATTTGTTTTCTAACAGTTTGAGCAGGAAAATGCCTTGTCATGCAGAAACGATGCTAATCCTCGTTTTCACATGAAAATGTTTGAATTTAACTCATCGCTTCATTTCATCCTCTATTGGTAGTAATTTTTATTTCTCCGTTTCTGCATGTCATGACCATTTTATTTATATTTTTGTATATTTATTTCCCTTTTAAAGATTTGATCTGATTTCTGCTTGATTTTTAGACATTTTTGTTGAGTTTTTTGGGGTTTTGTTACAAACTGAGTTGCACAGCAGGACTTGAGTTGGAATAATTACAAGTTTACATTTCTCTCCTTTTTTGTTTTTTATTCTGCTCTTCATACGAGTGGCCTTAATTATAAAATGATTTTTTATTTTTGTTATTTTTAATCTCTTTACCTTGTAATCGTTATAATTTGCATATTCTTTCTCAGACTGATGTCCTTAACATTTTGTATTTTTCATTTTAGTGATTTTATGTAAGCTGTAATCTGTCATGCTGAGTATCAATCCCATGTTTTTTATTTACCATTTATTTGTATTTTCTGTAGACAGAGATTTATTTTGAACTCTTTTTGTTTCAGCAGCTTTTTAATGGATGAAATTAAACTACAGATCCAGCCTCTTACCTTCCCTCAGTAATTCAATGTTTCTGTTGATGGAGCAAATATTTCCTTGTGCCAAGTTAAGTTTTCACTTTACGTTTTTTTAATTATTGCACATTTTTGTAACTTTTGACCATAAAATCACTGCATTTATCTGGAGTTTTCATTGGACTGTCACGTCTCTTTAAATCTGTCTCACTGTGTATGATTTCCACTCAATATTTTGTATAAAGTATTTAAGACTTGTATGGAAATGTCTTGTTTTTCTTGCACCACAGACTGAAAAGTCATTTTCACAGTGAAAATCAGTGTTTTTATACTGGACAAATTTACAATAGATATTATCTTATTTCACTTTATGAGGAAAAATATGTGCAATTAATGTTCAGTTGAAATCAATTAATATTTTTCCATTGTGAACTAACCATAAAAGTGCATCTTAATATGTTGGAATGTCATTGTTCCAGAAATGGTGAATTTCATATGTGCATCTTTTTTTTCCATCCGTTTTTCTTTCCACCCCACTTTTTATTAAAATGTAATACTGTCTTCTGGGAAAAGTCATCTTGTTCAAGAATGAATTTTTGTGGCAGATATTCACCATGATTGATTACTCCATAATGTGGCAATAGTTACCTTTTTTATTGTTTTGTGTAACCATGCAATTTATGATCTTACAGAATAAATTTGTTCAATTAGCTAACTGAAAAGTGAGTTTAAAACTTCTTTTAGTGTTGTAGTTCAGTCTCCATCCAGTAGAGCGTCCCACTGGTCATTCTGAGGAGCCATTGATACGAGTTTGCAGTGGTATCTCTGAAGAGGAATGAGGTCAAAACTATCAATATGGTCCAGTTTGGGTCTCCATTTGTGGATTGTTTGTCAAATTGAGTTAATGAATTTACTGGATTGAACTGGAGATAGATAAAACAAAGAGTGGAGTTTTCTAATTTGCATTTTTGTGCCATAAAAGGATTGGAAATCAAACGTGCAAAGAGTTTGACTGGAAAGTAAAACCAGATTTAATAGAACACACTGTGTCAAAATAAAGTTACTCCTTTCAAAACGTTCATTTCCAGGATTCCAACCACAGATGGATGTTGGAGGAATGTGTTGAATGGTCGTCATCACACACGTCTTCTGGTTCTGACCACAAATAAAGACTTTCTGGGAGGAAATGAAACGGGAGACTGAGGACATTCTGAGGACAGATCTCCCCATGGAGCCTCTTCTGTTTCTGCTGGACATAAACACCAAGGATTTACTCACTAAACATCAATGTTACATATTGTTGCACTTCTGCTGCTGGTAGCAAGAAAGACAATTAGACTAAACTGGATTAAACCCAGTTCACCAACTGTTGCTGAATGGAGAAAAACTGAAACATGACAACATGATGGAGCGTCTGACTGAACAACTAGACATGAAAAAGATCATTAAATATGTAGTTTGGAAAATAAATACTGAATTTGAAAATTAAATGTTTAGTTTGTAAAATAAATATTTTTTTGAAGCCAAACATTTAGCTAAAGTTTTATTTCCCAAAATTTTGTTTTCAATCAAAGTAAATATTTAGTTTATAATGAACGCTTGGATGACATGATGAAAATATTTGTTTGAAAAATGCATTTTCACAACTTTTTTTTATGACATGATGAATAAACTAAAATACTGTTAGTATTTTTTGTTTCTATCAATCATCACTACAGTAATGATCAAAGTAAGTACACCTTCATTTTAGCAGAACTTCTCTTCTTCCTCATGAAGATTTTATCAACCTGCCTCTGATTTCACCTCAGAGCTTCTACTTCCTGGTTCTGTTGCTCTAAAGGAAAAAAATACAAGTCAGGTGAGTTGTGACGTCATCAGTTATACAACATCCGTCACATTTACTTTCAGTTTGAATTCACCTGTTCAGGTGTGGCTCCAGACCATTTGTCGGGTCTCAGTTTGTTGTTTAAATTTTTTTCTTTAACTCTTTGGATCGTTTGAACAAACTGTCAGTTTAATTTGTTTATTTCTTTAATTTTTCATCACTTTAACTTTTTCCTGATTGTTTCTAATCTCTGATGTTTGGAGAAATGTTTTAATTCTGATTTCAACTGAAACTTTAATATCTGCTGTTTGAAGGCTAATCTGCAGAATTATTAGATTATTGATGAACTGGAATCAATCAACATGATGAACAGCTGATGTTTTCACTGTTTTCTTCTCTGAACTGATTCATGTTTTTATTTCCTGGTACTGAACTCTAGTCTCCGCCATTAATGTCAGCAACAGTTTCCTGTTGCTTCCTTTCAAATAAAATATTATTAAAATATTATTATTGATTCAGTCAAATTATTAAATAGTTAACATTTAATGCAGCTGATAATCCACTTGTAGAGATTAATCATTAACTGAAATATTTCCTATTGTTCAGGTTGAATGAGTGAATGTAAATGTTGCTCCATGTCTCCATCTAGTGGACTGATAGTAGAAGTGCAGCAGCTGATGGCAGCTTCCTCTGCCTCTCTGCTGTCTGACTGCATTCACCTGACACTGATATGAAGCAGAGAAGAAGAGCCAATCAGAGGAGGAGCAGCTGATCTTTTTCCAGCACTAATGATGTAAAGGATGATCAGAGTTGATGTGCAGATGAATGATGTGTGTTTTCCTCTGCAGGTGAAGCTAGAAAGTGTGTGTGAGCTGTGTGGATTCAGCAGCATGGATCAGTGTGAGGACAGAGAGGAGGGAGTCCCTCCCTCTAAAACCACTCTGTGTGGGGAAGATGAGAGCCAGAGCAAAGGTCAGAGGTGAGGTCACCATCTCTAACTGTCCACAGCCCTTTTCACACAGCGTTCACTATATCAGACCAGAACAGACGTGGTGATGAAGCTGCTGCTGCTGCTCTTTGCTGATTAAGTTTTAATCATCATGTTTCTGTCAGGATCCATCAGAAACGCAAACCAGAACCAGAACCAGAACCCAGCTGTGTGTCCTTTAAGAGTGACATGTCAAAGGGTCATCCTCTTGACTTTAAATCTCCTGGATCTCCACCATCAGAGAGGTGAGATGTATCTAAAAGCTGTAACAGAGGAAACTGAACCAGTATGAATATCACAGTTTTTATTTATTCTGCTGAAAGTGTGGAGTGATTCTGGTGTTACTGTAATTCATCTTCCTGTTTCTAACTCCTTTGTATTGTGTTCATGTCTGATTCAAGTATTTTTAGTGTGAAACTCTTGGTGATTTCCTCTGTGAAAACTGCTGGATGAATATTTCCTGACTTCCTAATTGTTCCTGGTTCCTCCACAGAGTGGACCAGCAGACCTCAGGGTTCCCAGTGGTTCATCTGTCCAGCAGCATCAAACACAGCTGGACTCCATATTTATGGTCTGTAAATGTACAACTACTTTTCTGTGGGTTCTGTTCACAGTTATCTCCATGCTGCAATTTGTAGTCCAAAGGATTGTGAGTCTGTTCAACATCCATCTGGTGTTTGGCTCCATGATTTAAACTCTGATGTTTCCTTCATCTATTATTCTGTTCCAGCTGCTGGAGGACAACATTGTTACTTTGTGAAGAAAGAACTGAAGAAGATCCAGAAAGTTCTGAGTCCAGATTACCCAGAACATTCAGAGAGTCAGAGAGATGATGAGGTGTTGGAAGGTGATGATGAAGAGCAGAGGAGGAGCAGCAGAGAGGCAGTGATGAAGATCACACTGAACTTCCTGAGGAGGATGAAGCAGGAAAAGCTGGCTGACCGTCTGCATAGCAGTAAGAGGATTTTTACAAAGATTTAACCTGATAGATAAATCATAAATTTATTGATGTCTGAAAAGATGGAATAACATTCAATCCATCATCTTCATTTTGTTTCATTATTGATTTTACTTTTTGTGTTAATTAAGGACATCTTGCTGCAGTTTGTCAACATCAACTTAATCTGGTCTGAAGAAGAAGTTCCAGTCTGTGTTTGAGGGAATTGCTAAAGCAGGAAGTCCAGCCCTTCTGAACCAGATCTACACAGAGCTCTACATCACAGAGGGAGGGACTGGAGAGGTCAATGATGAACATGAGGTCAGACAGATTGAAACAGCATCCAGGAAACCACACAGACCAGAAACAACAATCAGACAACAAGACATCTTTAAAGTCCCACCTGGAAGAGATCAACCAATCAGAACAGTGATGACAAAGGGAGTGGCTGGCATTGGGAAAACAGTCCTAACACAGAAGTTCACTCTGGACTGGGCTGAAGACAAAGCCCACCAGAACATCCAGTTCATATTTCCATTCACCTTCAGAGAGCTGAATGTGCTGAAAGAGAAAAAGTTCAGTTT